CACTGTCATCTACAGCCAGATTGCTTCCAGGTATCCCATTGATCCTGTGTACATGGAACACAAAGACTGTAGGCCTGCAGGTTCTCGGGGAAATAATCAGACACACGGCTCTAGGGCCAGAAAAGTCTGGTGCAGAGATAGGTGTGCTGAGTGCTGAGGTGGACTAGAGGAGTGGAGATGCTGGAGTGCAGGGAATCTCTCAGGGAGAGGCTGCTAAGGGAGGAGGCCCAGGTGCAGCATCCTAACCAGTGCCAGTAACTCAAGGATGAGCAGATAAAAATGGAGAAGCAAGAGATAAAGAATAGAAGGAAAAATGGGAAACAGACAAATCTGAAATAAAGAGGAAGAGATTCAGTAAAGTGAAAGGCTATTCTTGGGGTAAAAGGAAGCTTATCACATGTTTGCAATCTTGTGGAGGAAGAGCTGGGATACAGAGGGTTTAACTGAAAAGTCTCTTTTCCAGGAAGCAGAGGATAGCTTTGCAGTAGAAGGGCAATTTTCATCAGAAATAAGAGAGGGGAAAGAAAGAGGGAAGATAAATCACATAACCTCTCCAAGGGAGACTTGGTTTCTTTTCTATAAAATGAGATCATTGCACTAGATAAGATCTGAGGTCCTATCATCTATTGCAACCTTTTAATAAAAAAGAGAATCCCATTGAGTCTTCTGTAGCTGTTTTGTGTGTTTGATTTTAGAGTGAAGTTTTGTAAGCTATTCATTCTTTTGCACCAAAATTCTGATGGACACATTATATACTTCTTGGAACTACGGAGGAAATCCTTGTATTTCAATATCTTAATGGTGTGGGGGGTGCTGGAAATATTGTTCAGTGTCACTTACATAATATTCCAGCTTGGGATGTGTAACCTGAATCTAACCATGAGGAAACAGACAAATCCAAAACAAGGAACACTCTTTTTTTTTTTTGTACTGTACTCTTCAAAAAAATGCCAATGTCAAAAAGAAAGAAAGTCAGTGGAAATATTTCTGATTAAAAAAACTATATTGATAAGACAACCAAATGCAATATCTGATTCCAGACTCAATTCTGTACCACAGAGGAAAATCCTATAATGGACATTGTTAAAGTCAATTGATGAAATTGGAATATTGATAGTGGATACAGTGGATTAGAAAAAAAGTATTGTATCAGTGTTAAATTGACCAAAGTTGATAAATTTATTATGGTTATCTAAAAGAATATCTCTAGTCATAAGAGACATTGATATATTTTTGGGTAAAGAACCATTGTCTTAGTCCTTTTTTTAAAAAAAAAAAAGATTTTTTTTATTTATTCATGAGAGACACAGAGAGAGCCAGAAACATAGACAGAGGGAGAAGCAGGTTCTCTGTGGGGAGCCAGATGCAGGACTCAATCCCAGGACCCTGGGATCACACCCTGAGCCGAAGGCAGATGCTCAACCACTGAGCCACTCAGGCATCCCTGTCTTAGTCTTTTTGAGTTGCTCTAACAAAATACTACAAGCTGGATAGTTTATAAACAGCAGAAATATATTGGTCACAGTTCTGGAGGCTAGAAGTCCAAGATCAGGGTGCCAGCATAGTCTGGTGAGAGCTCTCTTCTGGGCTGAAGACTTCTCATAGTATTCTTGGGTGGCAGAAGGGGCTTAGGAAGCTCTCTGGGCCTCTTTTAGAAGGCACTGATCCCATTCATAATTTAAGCATCTCCCAGAGGCTCCTCCTACTAATACCATCCTCTTTAAGGGTTAGGGTTTCAACATATGAATGGAGGGGGACACAAACAATCAGACCCTAGCAGCCAAGATGTATGCAATTTACTCTCAAATGGTTCAGAGAAAAAAGACTAGAGAAGGGGGTGGGGGGTGGGCGGGGGGAGGCTAGTGATAAAGTAAAAGAGGCCAAATGACAGTCTGGGCAAAGAGAATATAAGTATTCAATATTCAATAGACAACTTTTTTACTTCTGCAATTCTTCTGTTAAGTTTGAAATAATTTTCAAATAAAGAGTGAAAATATACATTGTCAGCTAAAACAGTACTTAGGGTTCTATCTGCCAGCATCAAAAGTTCCAGAGAATTCTACTTTAATTATAATGCAGTGCCTTACTAAGGGAACTTTTCTTGAAACAACTGAGCTGACATTATTTGTGTAAAAGCAAAAAATTAAGGATTTCATGGTAATGTGAATTTGTAATAAGGAATAACTCTAAGATTGCCCTGTATTTTCTGTTTGGGGATATATTCATCTTATAAAAATTAATTGCTAAACAGAAAGGAAAAAAATCAAACGAACCCAGGAAATTCTAATTGTTGCTATAGCAGAGAATTCATAAAGGGGGGTCATCCATGGACATGAAATTTGCCTTGGCTTTAGGCAAAAAAAATTACTTTGTAAATTGTCAGATACATAGAAAGCAAAGCTGATAGAAAATCTTCCCTTTTCTATTGCCAGAATATTTTCTTACCAAGTTCCTGAAGTGTCCTGGAGCAGGCTCAATTACTTTTTTAGGACATGCAATAAAAGGGGTGAAGAGGGACCCCTGGGTGGCACAGCGGTTGAGCACCTGCCTTTAGTTCAGGGCGTGACCCTAGGGTCGGGGATCGAGTCCCACATCAGGCTCCCCGCAAGGAGCCTCCTTCTCCTTCTGCCTATGTCTCTGTCTCTTTCTCTGTGTCTTTCATGAATGAATAAATAGAAAATCTTTAAAAATAAATAAAAATAAAAGGGGTGAAGATTACAGTGGAAGATGGACTAGGCTAATTTTCCAATTCTTTTACATGCAAGAGCAGATGATTTAAGGATGCTGTGTATGCAACGTTTTGTTATGCTTTACTATTAGTCACTGCTTTGAAAAACAGCCTTTTATAACGCCTGCCTGTGAAAAACCGTACCCTCGGGGTTCCGACTCTCGGGAGTCGGCTAGCGCTTGGTCTAGTTGACCAGCAATGCAGCCATCTTCCTGCAGGTGGCGCTGCGCGTGAACGCCGTCCTCAGGGCGCCAGGGTGTGAAAAGGGGGTGGGGCTTTCGGCTGGTACCGCCCTGCAGGGATGCACCATACTCAGAGAGGAGGATACAGTTTACTCCAAAACCATCTGTACAGCAGCAAACAGTAGAGATAAGGAACGAGGTCATGAGTAGCTTCTGTGTCACTCAAAGGTGTTGGGATTAAAACAGCACAACCTTTCGTTCTTCCATCCTAAACTGAAAATAAGGGTGTCATTCTTGAAGTCATTATTCCATGACCCTTTATTTCCCATTGTCTCACCTTCTTCTTCTTACTTTTCTTCCCACCGTGTCCTTTCATCTCCCAAATTTGCTTTACAATTGAGGTAGATGGTTCCCACCCCATAGAAATTATACTTTCATTAAAAAGAGAGAGAGAGAGAGAGAGAAACAGAACAAACAACAAAAAATATATTTTAAAAACACAAGAAAAAGAAAAGAAATTACATTATTAAAAATTATTTTGTGTGCTGGTCTCCAACCGACCTAAAATATTGCCATAACTGCTCGAGAGATATGGTAGCAGAAGATTTCTGTGCTGGCCAGAAAAAAACCCCTGAAGATCCAGAGTAAGATGTGGGCTTTCTGCTAGCTTGATTGGGAGTGGATATGAGAAGTAGCCATTGGAAGGTATTTCTCACCAATATTGTCTTTTGAAGTTCACCTTACTCAAGGGGAATGTGTTAGAAATGATCGTTGAGGTTGACTGTGTTTTCCATTAATTAGTGTGCATCTTTCCTACAGGAGTCATTTTTTTCCAATTCATTTTTCAAAGATCATATACAACAGCCTTTCTCTATCAAAATATAAAAACAAAATACAGTTCTATCCCCAGTTCTTGGCAATCCTTCTATTTTTTTCCATTCTTGTCCAAAGACTGTAAGGTGGCCTGGTTATGATAAGTTAATGGATCTGTGGAGAAATGCCAGCTGGACCGTAAAACTCAAAACCTATTCTTAGTCTTGGTAAGTCTTGTTATGGTGTGTTGCATAGTGTGCAAACAGACTAACGTTTCAGTGGCAAAGTGAATTCCCCAAAAGAGCTCCTCTCCTAAAGGAAGCCAGTATGTTTTCAGGTGAGCCCTGTCCATGTCTGGACCATACAAGCAATGCTTCAGACACAGCAGATGGCGGCAAAGCGGAGGGAAATGATAAAACTTATTTTAAAAACTTGTAAACAAACTTTTAAAGAACATACTAAACAAATGCAGTTCGTAAAATAAGAGAAATGGTTGAGAGGTGATTTCTGTACAATCTTTCCTCTATGAAAGAATAAGTGGTGAGAGCCAGTGAGCAAACATGTCTTCTTCTAAGAGAATGGCAGTAAGGAACAGACAAGAGCTATAGGAAGAATTATGTTCAGATTATAGTAGGACAAACTGCATACCAGGTAAGACAAGAAACATTGCCAAGGAGGTTTTATGGCCTTCTTATTTGTAAGAAAGAATAAACTTTCCTTTGTGAATGAAGTGCATTTATTCTTGTTTAGAAGCAGAAAGTAAATCAGCTAGCCCCTCACGTTTCCAGTGATTATTTATCCCTTTCATCCGCAGAATCTCAAAGCTGCCAGGAACCTTGGAGATTATGCACTTTATAAATGAGGACACCAGTTGAAATGATTGTCCAAAGTCATGCAGAGTTGACACAGCAAGCCAATCTGTCAACCTCCAGTCCATAGCTGTTTTCCGACTACACAAAATCACCTCCTTAGTTTACCTACTTCCACCATATACACAGAAGGCCCATCCCACCCCACCCCATTTCCAGATCCCACACCCCACGTGTGTTTTGAATAGCATTCCTGTCATAGGTCATGACTTCTCCCTATGGTTGGGCCCACAGAGGGCAGACACTAGGAGCCCCATCTGATTAAGCTCAGCTAAATACTCAAAGAAGTGAAGAGCTTTGCTGAGGTCACAGGTACTTGTCCCAAGCCCCCAGCTCCATATGACTTATTTTCGGGGGACAGCACTGCATGTCACTTTTGACAAAATGTCTTCCTTTTTGCCTTTGTAGGATTCACAGCGGCAGCCTCCCTCGTGTCTTTGGCTTGGGCCTTGGCCTCTTACCAGAAGGCTCTCCGGGACTCTCGAGATGACAAGAAGCCCATTAGCTACATGGCTGTTGTCATCCAGTTCTGCTGGCATTTCTTCACCATTGCTGCCAGAGTCATCACCTTCGCCCTCTTTGCCTCAGTTTTCCAGCTGTACTTTGGGATCTTCATCGTCCTCCACTGGTGCATCATGACCTTCTGGATTGTCCACTGTGAGACAGAATTCTGTATCACCAAATGGGAAGAGATTGTGTTCGACATGGTGGTGGGGATCATCTACATCTTCAGCTGGTTCAACGTCAAGGAAGGCAGGACACGCTGCAGGCTCTTCATTTACTATTTTGTGATCCTGCTGGAAAATACAGCCTTGAGTGCCCTCTGGTACCTCTACAAGGCTCCCCCATTTGCAGATGCGTTTGCCATCCCAGCACTGTGTGTGGTGTTCAGCAGCTTTTTAACTGGCGTCGTTTTTATGCTGATGTATTATGCCTTCTTTCACCCCAATGGACCCAGATTCGGGCAGTCACCCAGTTGTGCTTGTGAGGACCCAGTCGCTGCCTTCACCCTGCCTCCAGAAGTGGCCACCAGCACGCTCCGGTCCATCTCCAACAACCGCAGTGTCGCCAGCGACCGCGACCAGAAATTTGCAGAGCGGGATGGGTGCGTACCTGTCTTTCAGGTGAGGCCCACGGCTCCGTCCACCCCGTCATCTCGCCTGCCACGGATTGAAGAATCCGTCATTAAAATTGACCTGTTCAGGAATAGGTACCCAGCGTGGGAGAGACACGTTTTGGACCGAAGCCTTCGAAAGGCCATTTTAGCCTTTGATTGTTCCCCGTCTCCTCCGAGGCTGCAGTACAAAGATGATGCCCTGATCCAGGAGCGGTTGGAGTATGAAACCACGTTATAAGATGCAAGGCCTTGGAGGAGCCACAACCTCCAGGTGAAGGGGTGGCAGCAGGGCTGTGGCAATAATGAAACTTTGTCCTGGAGCAGGGCAACGAGCTGTAATGAGCTTCGTCTGACCCTCCATCAGCTGACTGCCTGCTGCTGGTCTCCTTCCAAAACAGCCACTGAAGGGAGGGGAAACGGGCCAGCTCAGCAGGACTCCTTGTTGCTACCAACCCCTCCTGCCCACTTTCAGCGTGTCCACCAGAGGGTTCTATGATCACGGAAAACATTGCCTCCGATCAATAGGGTGTTTTGATGGAGTTAATTGACCTTTGCATAAAAATATATTCAGTCACACACACACACACACACACACACACACACACAAGGCACCAGTCCTCTGTCAAAATAGCTTAGGTGATTTTTCTTGATGCAAAGCTCTGATTCTGAATATAAAAACAGAGAGAAAATATATCCCTCAAGACTCCAGAAAAAAAAAATAGTACTACTTAGGAAAGAATTTCATAGACCATTCTCATCTGGAAACCACTACCACATGTGAAAATCTTACCCAATGGACAACAAACTCAACTGTTGTTTACATGTGTATGCGAATCGGTAGAATGGTTCACTTTCAACACATTTCAGGATCTGTCTCTTATTTTAAGTTTTCAGTTGAGAACATCCTTTCCGACAGAAATCCTATGCAGCACATGTATGGCTTTTGACAAGACCAGGGAGCTCTCAATGATTTCGTGATGTAAACTAAATGATCATCATGATTCCGTCTTCAGTCGCAAAAATGTAGTAAGTACATGAAGAGGAAGCAGGGAAACAAGGCAAAAGGAGTGTCTGATTTCCTGGCCTGTGCAGCTCACGCGGGCTCATAGGTGCAGAGCAACAGGAGAGGAATATGCTGAACTGGATGTTTCGAGACGTGGGGAAGCATGGCTCTGTGTGAATACAGGCAAGCGCGAGTCCAGAGCACGCTGCGCCACACCTTCCTAGTGCCAAACACGTCCAACCACAGGACTGATGTGGAAGTCCCAAACACCTGAGAACGAGTGGCGTGAGCCCCCCAAAGTGGACGTGAGAGTGCACCATCAAGTTCCCCACTGTGTACAGACTCCCCTCCCCCCAACCCAAGGTCAAAGTGATGTGTCTTTTAGAGGCTTTGGACACTTTTTAGTAAGTATGAGCAGACAGTGCAGTGAATATGCTATGAGACAACCCTTCCCAACTGATGGAGGGCTTATCACTAGATCCAGCTAAGATTTGTATTTGAATCATTTGTAAAGTCGCACTCTGAACAAACTTCTGGGTTTTTAATACCTCCGTACAGCAAGTAAACGTCCCTTGCTTTCTGTTCCCAGTGTCCTCAGTCATGGTGCTTTTCGTTGCATTAAAAGTGCCGGTCAAACTTTGATAGTATTTTTTTATAGTTGGTGCAGAGTGGAATAACTCATGGATTATTTCAATATTTTTGTAATAAAAAATATAGGGTATACATATAGGCATCATCACTTTTTTTATAGACCTGGAATCGTTTAAAACACTTTAAGCATCAGAATTACTTGGGATGTCAGGAACTGGTCCACAAATCCCATCAGCCTGCCTCAGCAGATTGAGAACACTTGTCTCTTGCAAGATCACCCTACTTTGCAATGTCGGTGCCCCCAGGAACCTGGCCAGGGGTGCTATCAGGATATCAGGTGACAAGAGAATCAGCTTAACTAGAAAGGGCTTGTCAAGACTGGCCAATGTTTCCCAGGATGTGAGAGCTGTAAATGATTATCTTCATCCATCCATGATCACAAACCTGACCACAGTGGAAGATGTCTTAAACTTCCTTCCCTGGTTTTATATTAACCCAACTTATATATTAAATATTAGTCAAGTCACTAAAAAAAAGAGAAAGAGAGACAGAGAGACAGAAGAGGGAAAAGTCCGTTTAGCTTAATTATTCTGTGATCTGGACTGTACAATCCACTAAAAATAGTCAAGTTCTATAGCCACCACCTATAGTGGGTGTGTCACACAGAGACTGCTGTCCCAGTGACATCAACAGGAAATGGCAGAGGGTTCAATCTATGACTTCCTTTGGTACAAAGCCCCAGAGCAACATTTTAAAAATAGATGATTTTTTATTGGTAGAGATACTTTCCTAGCACTCCATGGTTCGATCCTCCAAGCAAGATTTCCACTAAAAAAATAATAATCTTTTGTTTGGATGTGAAAAGATTACCTAGTCGTCAGTAAAGGCCCAGGAAGACGCTCTTCTTATCAGCAATTGTTGAAAACATTGCACCCCCATTATAGATGGAAAAAATGATTATATTGGCAAAACTTCTTCACTTTTGTGCAGGACCATGAGTTATTAGCTTCATTATTTCCAAGAAAACTTTTAATTGATGATCTTTGGAAATTGAATGGCTCAATTGAACTATACCTTTGATTTCATGAGTAAATGCCAGATTACAGTTAGAGTGTCAATCAACACAAACTCAGCAGGCCCCAACACTCCTCAATCATGTAAGTCCTGAGTTATTTCTCAATTTGATACCCCATTTAACATGTTAAGAGTCAAAATGAGTACTGTGTGAATAAACAATAATGTACTATGCTTTGTCTTGGAGGTAAGAATACAGTTAGGAGGGTGTAAAAAGTTTGTATTTCTCAGCAATTTCCCAAATACCATAAATACTCCATTATCCAACATACTTGAAGATGATGTTTTAGTTAGTCAAAAATTCTTGCTAAGGAAAGGATATCTTCACCATAAATTCCAAACTCTCTCAAGATTACAGGAGCCAAAAAATTCTGCTTCTGAGGAAAAGCGTGACCTAATCTTGTTTCCATGATTCAGAAAAAGCACTGTGCTGCCCTCAGATGGTGTGATGAGAACCGTTATTATTCATTTCTAGATATATAGAAAACACAGAGTTTAAAGTATTAGGATTTAAAGAGACATTGTCAATGTGCAAAGGAACAAAGTTTGATTTTTGTATCTGTATTTTAATTCTTCCTAAGATTTCATTTTCAATCTGCCATGAAACCCTCCACAGACAGTAACCAGAGAGCCCAGAGAGCCCAAAAAGAACATGCTACAGTTAGCACACAGATTGGAAATGCTGGATTCTTTCTCTGTGGGATCCAACTTCCTGTGTTCTACTTGGATTCTCTGAGGGGAGGGGAGTCCTGCTCTTAGCACTCCCTTTTTACCCAAGACCATAAATTTTCTAAAAGAAAATGTTATACATCTTTTTCACTTTCAAATTAGCATTTGAAAATGAAGCTGTATTTAAGATTAAAGAATATATACATATGTGATATATATACACATATGTGTGTGTGTGTGTGTGTGTGTATCTTAACCATACTGAGGTTTTTAAGTATTTGTGTGGAAGAAAAAAAAATTTTCCAAGTAAGTCAAAGTTTGGTCTCCCATAATGACTATGTCTTTTAAATCCTCTTAGCCATTCACATTGTCCTACTTAACTATGTGCTGTCTAGTTCAGTAACACTGACTTTGCGGACACTCCATTACTATTCATTTTTGATAATGCCATGAGTCCAACAAGTGAAATAAATTTTCATACTGACTTGGCAAGAACATGCAATTCGAGTATTAGTACAATATAAAATATGAAGATACCAGAAGATAAAAGTATAATGAAGTATTTATGCTTAATTCCTAAATGCCCAATTTATTTTACTCTATGAATAAATTAAGTGATAGCACTGACCAATTAAAAGTGAATGGGAATAATTGAAATCTCAATGACTGTTTCTTAAAATACCGTAACATGCATATATGTTATGTATGTATATATGTATGGTTTACATATATATCTATACACACAACAAAAGAACAGACGTGAAAAAGATGAAGTATATACTGCCCTTTCAAGCATATTAACTGGTGTGTTACCAACACGTGAAGTTTTAGTTAAAAATCTTTTACCTCCTCTTTTTCAGCCCAAACTTACAATCCCTGTCTATACGATATAAGACATCAACATACTGGTAATGTTGAGGGAAATACCTAGATGCAATTTATCACTTTTAGCTTAAATAAGCTATTTCACTCCTATAAGATTTCATCTTCTAAGAAGCTGAATAGAATAGATTTGAATCATTTCAAGGTTTCTTTCTCCCAACTGATTGAATTGAGCAAAGAAAAACTCTTGTGTCCTTACCAAACTGTGTAAGGTTACACATTTGCCTTTAAACATACCAAATGCCATCGAGTGGAAGAAGTTCTCCCACAATGTTTAGATAAGAATCCACTATTTTTTTCTAATGAACCATTTTCTAGACTAAATATATGCTCTCCTGCATTCTCATACATCTTTGCCATTAGCCATCACTGTTTCTATATAAAACTTGGATGAGATGCCTGCATTTTTACGTTTCTAAGGAGAATTCCTTAAAGCCTTTTTAAAAATAGCTCAGACTGTCTTTCAGAAATATAGCTTAGAGGATGGTTGAAGTGCACGGTGAAAACAGCAGATCTGAGGTGCTTGTTTCTATAAATTCAGTGATGGATGCAGATCAACTCATGTTCATTTATCTTCAACAGTCCAGTGTCACTTCTGAAAACAATCAAAATGATTGCTCTGCCAGCTTGTGACTCATAACACCCTTCTTCCCCCTCTGAAGCCTGGGCATTTCAACATGGCCGAAGAAGGGTGATTTTCGTCTACTGCCTACCCACTGAAGCACCCAACTTCCATTTCCAAGTCTCTGGCCCTGACCTGACCTGTATCAGGCTGTGAAGTGATCTCAGCAGTCGGGTTGCATCTCCTCTGCTCACTTAGGAAAGCTGTACTGTCCACTGCAGGGCTTTGTCTCTGGACCTATGTCTGGTCCAGTTGTAATCCTAGAAATGGGCACACAGAAAGACTCAATCTGTGCCTGGGATCAACAGTCTCAACAGTAGGATTACTCATTCAACAGTAAAACTCCACAGAATGTGGGTGGAATTGTATAAAAACACAATGAGCCATTTAATTTTGTTAATTGTAGCAATTAGGCTAGCTCGAACAC